AGACCTGACAGAGCATCACATTCTTCCAGGGGTATTTTTGTAGACAATGCTTATTTAATTTCGATTGTGGTGCTGTTTTATCGCATTTTGATAAATGGTTGTTAAAAATTCTGTGTGAATACCTTGAGAATTTTAAATGGAATTGATAACCAACAGAGGAACCTTAAGGAAAAAGAGGAACTAGTGATGGGAGAAGAGGGATGAGAGCACACTGATATTAACAGTAGTCACCTGCCCGTTAAATACCAGTTGTCTCTTTTAGGTGCATTTCTCTACAGAGTCGTCATGAATCGGCAGCACTCACAATGCAAACGGCACTGAACATGGAGCGCTGGACGCCACTGTCAGTGGTTTTGGCTTTCAACTTCCTGCTCTGTCAGTGGCTTTTGATCTTAGCGAAGCCACTAATCTTCTTGGGCCTCCATCTCCTCATCTGTAAAACGGGCAAAGATTCCTCCCAACTCAAAAATCCTGTGATCTGTGATGTGATTTATGGGACTAAATTCTCTGCATGGGGATCTTGCCAGGGATGGAACTGACATTTTCTACGGTGGACAGGTGCCCTCACCTGTTTCCGGTGAATGCTGCCATTCTCCTTGGTGACCCACAGGTGGCGCCTTCTGGGCAGTCAGCCCTGCGCCCTTGTCCATAAAGTGTCAGCTGGTATGTTTCATTCTCCACTTTCCCTCGTTTTCTATGCAGTATTTAAATCTTTCAGAAGTTCTCTTCTTTAAGAAAAACTTATCAGGATACACAGAAATAATTAAAAAAAAAAAACACCCAGAGATGAAAGGGGAACGCACTGTAAGAGGCTTACAGATCTCAACCAATCACAGCGCGTTAACCTTATTTGGATACTGATTCAAACAAGTTGATTGGAAACAAACAAACAAACAAAATTATGACGTTTGTGAGACAATTGGAAATTTGAACACTTGGTGGATATTGGATCTGAAGACATTATTGGTCATTATTTTAGGTGTCGTAATGGTCTCATAGTTACATTTTTAAAAGAGTCCTTAATCTTTTAGCGACACACTGAAACATTTGCGGATGGGATGGCCCGAAGCTGCCGGGCCATGAGTGGGTGGGATGCAGACGAAACAAGTGTGGTCATGAACTGGCAAAATCGGGAGTGAACGACGGGCACACAGGTTAATAATGGTACTAGTTGGTCTGTTTTGCGTGCGTTTTATAGGCTCAGTAATAAAAAGCATTAAACCCCCCCAAAGACTCAATGGGGACTGATCCTAACGAGGCACGTTTGCCGGGGTGTCGGAAAGGGCTGCCTGTCACAGTTGCATAATCGCTGGGGGTAAATGTGGAAGTTCATCAATCAGCAGGGCTGTCGTGGGAGCTGACTGGCAGCAAGCCCGGTGCTGTGTGGCTGTCATCTTGCCTCGAGGCCCATTTGCCCTCTATAAATAACAGTCTATATGAATGCTTTACTATTTTAACGCACATTCGCCACAGCTGCTGAGCATGTTTGTTTACGTAGCTACGAAACCTTCTGTAAACATCACTATCTCAAAATTGTCCATGTGTCAGGAACATAAACGGCCCCCTTTAAAAATATATTTGCAGATGAGACACGGCCAACTCCTAGATGTCTGGGTGGCTGGTGTCAGAATTTTCCAGGGTTTGATTCATTTTCAAAAATAGAGCCACATGACTGGAAGGTTCTTGAAAGGTCACCTGGCACATCCCTGTGACTTCAGGCAGGACCAGCCCGGAGCTGTCCGTGGAGGATGCGGCCCTGTTCTGCGTGGGTGTGAGCCCATCTTCCCTGAGATCCCCGGGGCGTGGAAGATGGGCTCACTTCCTGCCTGCGAGGGGCCCAACTTCCACGATCTAAAATCGGAGCGGACTCTGCAGTGCAGCTGGAGTCGGAATACGGTGTCCACGGAGCGCCCCCAGCCTGTGGGGGCCTCAGCTCCCAGCGGCCAGAAGGGCCCAGGTGGCCAGCTGCCTGCAGGACAACCCAGGACTCTGGAAAACACCACATTGGGATCGCCATGTGCCCGCAACATGCATGCTAGGAAGAGGGCACTGCGTCAAGGTTGCAGTGTGGCGCTCATCCTTGAAAGACATCTGTGGACCGAGACCCCTGAACATAGTAGTTTAAGGTCAACCGAGTCGGTTTTGCAAGAACTAATAGTGCAGTGGAAGCTGTTTTGTGTCAGCTTGCTGTTTCCACTGCTCCTCCCAGTCCAGCACTACAATGAATAATTAGATTCTTGTGAATTTATTTTCCTCTGTGCATTTGGTCTGCCTTTTTTTTTTTTTTTTTTTTTTTTACTGTGGGTTTGATACATTGAAGGATTTTTTTTCCACCCAAGGGTCTGGTTAATATCCATAAAACCCAATTGTTCTTTTCATTCACAAAGAAAACCTATCCCGCTGAAGCTTAAGAGATAGTTTTGCTGGAGGTACGGGGTTATACACATCCCATGAGGAAAAGACCAAGACATGTCCAGCCTCCAGACACCTCCAGAACTTTCTAGAACACCCTCCCCCACTTTCCAGAAATTAGAAAACTTTTTTTTTGGCTGGGGGAATTAATAGTGGCTGCCTTTTCCCAGGTGGAGGGGCGAGAGTTTTGATTGTTTTTGCTGGTGATTACCCGGTGTTCTCCAAGAAAGCCATGGAAAGGCTGCGGAGTGCTCAGAGGCAAGTATCATTGTTAATTACTAAGAAAACGATGTTTCTGCCTTTGGAAACTCTCACTCATTGCGAGCTGTCATCAGAAAGACGACAGGGTCTGCCTGGGGGGGAATTCACGAAGATAATTTGCTTGCTACAGATTCATTTATTTTTCGAGACTGGGCTTTGGTTTGAGGGAACGCAAAGGTTAGCTCCTGCAATTTGAAGATCAGATTAGCATCAGCAACCAGAGGGTACAGATCCAGTGTTTTTTTTTTTTTTTTTTGCTTCTTGAGCTCAGAGACGCAACCCCGCCCTCCCTCACGTCCCATTGGGGAAATTTACAGCGAGAATCCAATGTAAAAACTGCATGGTGAGTGGTCAGTTCATCCTGCCAGAGGCTGCAGCTCAGCGGCCACCGCTAGGGGGAGCCAGAGTCCCTCCCTGTGCTCAGGGGAGGCTGGAGAAGTTCCAGTGTGGGAAAGCAGCGGAGCTCCCTGCTGGAATCGCAGCCACCCCTCCTCCTGTCCCCCACGTGGCTATTGCCACACAAGGATACCCCCAGATCAGGCTCAGGGCACAGCTAGCCCTATGAACATCAGCACTTACTGCGCTGTTCACAATAGTTACTTTGTTATTCTTTAGAGCCAGTGTCCGGATCAGTCCCTGTTCCTTTTGTTCTGCGTGGAGACCGCTCACATCACCTGCGCCACGCAAAGCCCTTTGCTCACATTTCATTGTTTGCCACATTTAGGCAACCTTACTGCAAAGTTCACACCACCGCAGGAGGAACGCCGTGAGGTGTGGGGAGGTAGCAAGACGGGACCAACGACTTTCCTCTGAAAGGGACAACCTGGGTTAGGTCCCTTGTTACAGGCTGATGGAGAACCCGGGGCCAGCCTGCCAGTCATGCATTGTCAGATAGCAGGAACCAACCCCGAGCCTCAAGTTGAAGACTTAAAAAGGCACAGAAGGACAGATTGTATCATGAAGGAGGACCGCAAGCCTAATATCAATAACTCAGAAGACCCATCAGTACATGAGTGGATTAATAAAATGTGGTATATGTACACCATGGAGTACTATTCAACTACAAGAAACCATGGTGACAGAGCACCTCTTGTATTTTCCTGGGTAGAGCTGGAACCCATTCTATTAAGTGAAGTATCCCAAGAATGGAAAAACAAGCACCACATGTACTCACCAGCAAATTGGTATTAATTGACCAACATCTAAGTGGACACATAGGAATTACATTTATTGGGTGTCGGGCAGGTGGGGGGGAGGGGATGGGTATATACAAACACAATGAGTGCGATGGGCACCAACTGGGGGATGGACACACTTGAAGCTCTGATTCCAGGGGGGAGGGGGGCAAGGGCAATATATGAAACCTTAATATTTGTACCCCCATAACATGCTGAAAAAAATAAATAAAATAGAAGAAAGGTAAAGGAATCACTGACTTAGGGCTCTAGTTTATACATTTCCTGTGAGGCACTGAGATAGCCTAATTCAGAGTTGGTGGCTCTTTGGGGGACATTACAGATAACTATGAGCAGAAGCTGCTTTCCTGTTGGGATGTGTAACATGTGTAAAGTTCATATATGAGTGCAGACCTCAATAAAAACAGACCGTTTTCTCTATTTTGAGAACAAATCACCTTCCCTAAAACACACCAATGATTAGCCAGTAACTGCAGAGGGGCAGAAGAGTCAATGGGATTAAGATGAATGGATCTGCAATTTTCTTCTTTTCTGCTAGAGTTACTTATGGGTCTGTAGCATTATGTCTACTGGGAGTTTGGGAAGTAGAATGTGGACAGATGTTAGGAGAGCACATGATACCAAAAAACCAAAAAACAAAACACCACCCAATGCTATGGGTCTTGCAAATGGCTCCAGTGAATGGATGAAATTGCATTTTTATTAAAGCAGTTTGTCAGGCTTCCTTTGAAAGGCTTGACTTTCTCCCTCTTAACTTGATAATGAATAACCTCAAGTATTTAAATTAGCAATGTTTAAAGCCATTTAAAAAGTGCTTAATAAAAGCACTTAGAGACAGATCAAATTTTAATTTAAGTAAATATTTGGAAATTTAAAATATACTACATGGTGATTTTTTTCATTGTTCATTAATTTATTTTCCAAAAGGCTTTTAAAAACTAAATAGTTAGACTTCTCGGTGGATATACTTGAGGTTATAGGACACATAGGCATACTATTTCATGAAGCAAGGGGATTTGGTCCATAGTGAGTGAGGTTCTATACTCTCTAGCTTGTCATAAATAAGGATGTCAGGTCTGGTTTAGAACGAGCATCTACCCCACAGAAGTCCCAGGAGGCAGCACGTCTTACCTGTGGCTTCCACCATTCCTTCTAGGATGACCACAATTTCCAGTTCCTCTTTGGGCAGCTGGGCTTTGGAGATCTCCCAGAAAGGACTCTGTTGGTTAATTTCGTGGCTAATGATGAGCGGTGACACCAGAAACAGACGGTCATCCCCCGTGTAGTACCCTACGTTGATATCTGTCTGGTTCAGGGGGATGAACTCCCCCTCTGAAGTCTGTTTGGATTTGATCAACTTGGCTCTGATGGAAGCCTCCACGATGTGGGAATTCCTAAGGTCCCCTACCCGGAACATCAGGCACAGTTTCCCATCCCGCATGGAGATCACCGCGTGGGTGGAAAAGACCAGGGTCTCTGCCCTCTTCTTGGGCTGAGATATTTTCACAAACATGCATCCCACCATGAATGCGTTGACAATGGATCCCAACACAGACTGGATTAAGAGGAGAATAATTCCCTCCGGGCACTTATCTGTGATGACCCGGTAGCCATAACCGATGGTGGTTTCTGTCTCTATCGAGAATAAAAAAGCAGAGACGAACCCGTTAAGGTTGGTGACACAGGGAGTCCACGAGGGGTCCTCTATGTGGTCCATGTCTCCTCGGATGTATGCAATTAACCACCAGATCATTCCGAAAAAGAGCCACGTCACTGTGTAAACCATGACGAAGATCAACAGGTTGAATCTCCACTTTAGGTCTACCAGGGTGGTGAAGATGTCGGTCAGGTAGCGGTAGGTCTCCCTCACGTTGCCGTGGTGCACATTGCACTTCCCGTCTTTCCTCACGTACCTCTGGATTTTCCTTTTGGTCCGGTCTCTGCTGATGTGTCTCGGCAGGTCGTCCCTGGCCTGCTTAGGCAACTTTGGCTGGTGAATGGCCACAGGGCTCTCCACATCCTGATCCATGGAGTCGCCCTCCAGGACGTTAGCTGGTGGTTTGGAGAAAAGAAAAGAAAACCAAATGAGATGCTGGCTCTTTGAGGGCAGTGGGACCACACGCTTTGTGTAGGGTAGTAGAACCAAATGCCATTTGCGTAGCTATAAACAAAGTAGACAAAGTAGCCATTTTTATGTGGTACCCTCTGGGGAGGCCTCCGGTTGACTTGGACTTCTGTGCTCTTCGATCTAGCTTGTGTAAGTACTTCACCACCCTGCCTGCCAGGAGGGAGCTAGTTGCTGCAAAATAGTCTCCCTGCCAGCAAGTTCTAACTGAGTCAGCTCTTACAGAAGGACGTCTCCCCACTCTAGCTGAGATGTCGTGGCACGGGAGAGGCAGGGAGCTCTGAATAAAGAAGACATCTTTGGATTTGGACAGTTTTGGTTCTACCACTTAATAACTGAGGGCTCTTCGGTTGCTATCTGTTATGGACTGAATCGTGTTCCCCCAAAATCCATATGTTGAAACCCCAACCCCCAATGTGACTCTATTTGGAGATAGGGCCCTTAAGGAGATAATTAAAGGTGAAATGAGGTCTTAAGGGTGGGTTCCGAATCTAATAGGACTGGTGTCCCTATAAGAAGAGGAAGAGACACCAGGGAAGTGCGCGTGAACAGAGGAGAGACCATGTGAGGGCGTAGTGGGACGGCGGCCGTCTGCAAGCCAAGGAGAGAGGCCTCACCAGAAACCAGCCCTGCGGACACCATGGTCTCAGACCACCAACCTCCAGAACCGCGAGAAAATAAACATCTATTGTTCTGTGATATTCTGCTATGGCAGTCTGAACTGGCTAATACACTGTCCACATTCCTGGGCCTCAGTTTCCTCATTTACAAAATGATCGTGATGCCAACTCGAGGGGCTGTTATAAGGTTAAACAAAATCACATATGTGACATGTGCCCACATGTAACAGCCATGAATAAATATGTCTTTGTAATAAATTGTTCCCTTGTTACTCTCCTCATATTTAGGGCATTCATTTTGAACAAGCCCTTTGCGTTACTGGTCAGATTTCAGGATTAAAAAAAAGAAATTTCTGGTGTCTGTTGGTAAGTGTGCATTCATTGGATTCTAATGGTAGATTCAATGACAAGGTTTAAAAAAGTGGGAGGAAATGTTCTCTCTGTTTCTGTGTGTTTACATATTTGATTTGGCTTCTGCCCCAACGTTTAAGGTCTGTAGTTTTGGCCTGTGGTTATTGTCTTTCTTGTGGCCTTCATGATTAATGCATTGGTACACTCATTAGTTAGTAAGGCACTGGGAGAGCTCTCCTAAAATCTGAGTGCAAAGGGAAGTTTGGAACTGATGCTACTATTAAAGGCACATGAACCACTGTATGAAATTACTTGTTTGGCCAATAATTTTAAAGTTTTCTAGAAGTTTTACAGAAAGTGTCTTCCTCGAGGCTTCCATTCTGTGTCCTTTGACTCTGCCACACATTTCATCTGTGGTCACTATGTTTTTCCCTTGGTTAAAGGAGAAATGCAATCTGTGGAGAAAACATCATTTATCTGAACAAGGCTGGGCACGGTGGCTCCTGCCTGTAATCCCAGCACTTTGGGAGGCCAAGGAGGGAGGATCGCTTGAGGTCAGGAATTTGAGACCAGCCTGGGCAACATAGCGAGACCCCGTCTCAGGAAAAAAATCATTTATCTGGATGAGAAAATAGCAGGGGATGGGACGTGAGGGCCACCAACTTAACTTCTGGACTAAACTTGCTCATGGCTGGTTAGTTGCCTTAAAAGTCAATCCCAGAGATGTGTGTTTGTGTGTCGGCCCAAGGAAGAGACAGCATGCAGCCTGCAGAGCCTGCTCTTTGGTCTGACAGCTGTGACTTTCAGGTCATCGCCCTCAATGGCCCTTCCTTTGTAAGTTGGAAAATTTGCTTTTTTCCCTTCTTAGGAGAGACCCCAGGACAGGAGTTGGAGAGAGAGGTGCTGAGGTGGGGGCGGCTGGAAGTGGGCTGGGGCACCTGGAGGAGGGCAGAGGAGATGTCCCGGTCACTGCCAGCACCCCATGCATAGCGGATGCTCGTGGCCTCGAATGGTCAAGTCCAAGCTCTCGCGGCTAGTTTTGCCCTGAGTGCGCGTCTCTAGCTGTGCGTTCACGTGGGGTGATGTCTGGGCCCAAAGTCTGCCGGGCTGGGGAGACCCTGTCTGCAGGCCTGGCGTATGTTCCTGCGGTGGCCTTGGGACGTTGGCTGGCTGTGCAAAGCCACCCTGAGCCCATGTCTCTCTGAGGTCTTAAGTGGAGGCATAGGGTTTGTCAAATTAGCTGAGTCTCCAGTCTTCAGTGCTATTTCATACTTTAAAAGTGTTACGTGGGAAATCTGTGCCTGCCTCCCCTCCATCCCAATTTGTAGCCGATTTCCCACTTTTTCTGGCTCAACTGCAATCGTCAGGCTCCAGGCATTTGCTCTGAACTGGAAGGACCTGCCTGCAAGGTTAAGGAATGAGTAGTGGCAAGTGCTCCGGGCGGTCTGTGGTCTGCGGTCTGCGGGGACTGTCTGATGATCCCCCAAATCTGGTTCCTCCCCAGGGCTGGGCCACCCCTTCTTTGCACTGAGGAGTGGCCGCAGTGATGGAATCCTGGTTCATCTGGGGTGGGGTCTGCCTGTCTGGGTCAGGGTCTTGAATAGTCAGTGTGCCCCTCCTCATGTCTTTGCCCCCGCCCGAGGATTCTGAAGTCAAGAGGGGACAGGGCGTGGGTCCTGAGTCAGCGTGGACAGCCACCATATGTCTAGAAACAAGACAAAAGTGATCGTGTTTGACCAGTTACATATTTTGTGCCTATTACCATATTAAGCCTCATCTGAATTTTTATGGGCAGAAATAAATGCCACCCTGAAGCAGACAGAAGAGTCATCAGGGGACCGGCTTTGGGGACAAGCAAAGGGAGACCAGAGGAAGTCGAAGGTGTTGCGTTTGGGTTTGGTGTTCGCAATGAATTAGCCTGCCGTTAATTGAATGCTGGTGTTTGGCGTTATTGGAAAAATGTAAGTGCATGTGCTATTTCAGTGCTTTTAAAAACAAACACAAATTTAAAAGTGAAGAAAGCCAGGCCTCCGGCAGGGGAGGGACTGAGTGCAGGCCAGGTGCGTCCCTGGGAAAATGGGGCAGGAAGGCTGGGCCTTGCCTCAGAGCGGCTGGTGGGAGGAACAGGCACGGTGTTGCAGAAACCAAAAAAGCCACGGCAACACGAGAGCACTATGGGATTAAAAGACACAGAAGAGGCCGGGCGCGGTAGCTCACGCCTGTAATCCTAGCACTCCGAGAGGCCCAGGCAGGCGGATCGCTCAAGGTCAGGAGTTCGAAACCAGCCTGAGCAAGAGCAAGACCCCATCTCTACTAAAAATAGAAAAAATTTAGCTGGACAACTACAAATATATAAAAAAAAATCAGCCGGGCATGGTGGCGCATGCCTGTAGTCCCAGCTACTTGGGAGGCTGAGGCAGGAGGATCGCTTGAGCCCAGGAGATTGAGGTTGCTGTGAGCTAGGCTGACGCCACGGCACTCTAGCCAGATGACAGAGTAGGACTTTGTCTCAAAAAAAAAAAAAAAAAAAAAGACATGGAAGTAGTAGCTCCAGGGGGCCAGGGAGGGCACAGTCAGGGAGCAGGAGAGGGAGTGGGGTGGGCAGGGTTTGTGGGAGGGGCGGAGCCTCATGTCTGTGTCCAAAGTGGTGTCAGGGAAGGCGGGACAAGGGGACCAAGCCACTCCAGCTCTGAGTGGTGAGCCGTGCCTCGGTGCCCCACCGCCACCCATGTGGACGTGCGAATGGGGACGCAGAAGGGGATGTTGACGTGTCTTTTAGGATTTCTTTCTTTCTTGGAAGCCCAGGTGGGATCCGAGCAGGGACCTGAGCTGCAATTCCCAGGAGCACTTTGAGAGGCTCCGCGGGGAAGGTGCAGCTGTGGTTGGGGAAGCGGACATCTCTCCCCTGTTCCCGCACGGCCCATGGCACCAACCACCCCTTACCACCGGACAGCCCGGGGCAGAGGACGCCCTCCGCTCGCCGGGAAGTCTGCCCGGACCGCAGAAGGACAGGAGGAATGGCGCCCAGAAGTTTAATGATTTACTTGGCCTGAGACCTGATTTTCTGGCTTTTGCCTTGGAGCAAATGCAGACCTGTGCAAAGGTCAGGCTTTATTATTTTCCCCTTCCTCTTTTATTTCTTTCGCTTTCTCTTTTAGACGAATGATCAATTTACACAGAACTTAAGGTGCAAAGTAGCCTAGTGTTGAAATGTAACCTAAAAGAAATAATAATAAATGACAGAACCACAGCTGGAAGGTGCCTGGTTCCTCCCCACGCCCCATCACCTGAGTGGAGTTGTGGGGTCACATTTCAGGTACGGCCCTGCCCCTGCTGCAGGGAAGGCTGCCTGGCCTGTAGTGGATGTTCTCCTGGTGGGGCATTCTTATGTTTCAAGTTATATACTAATCTTAAGGGTGAAACTTCCAGCACCTAAAAAAACATTCAAAAAGTGCGTCAAGACTTTCTAATGTCCTGGGGAAAACCTAACTGAGAAAAGCATGGTACCTCTCACGTGCACGTGCAAAATCAAAGATTGCAAGGAATTGCAAGGAAATGCACTAAGAGGTTAATAAGGCAATTCTGAGTATGTGTGTATGTGGGGGGGGTTGGGGTGCTTTTAATTTTCTTGGTAAACATTCTGATTTTCCCAAATTTTCTAGAATGAATTTATATTACTTTTATAACCAGAAAAAAAAAAAAAAACAAACCCAGGAATTTTCAAATAACGCATTGAGAGAACACTCTGCTGACATCTGATTTAAGAAATGTACCACACAAGGAGAGGAATAACTATAAAGCACCTGACCTGAAGGTGTCCCATCACATGCGTGTGGCAATTTAGAAACTGAGACATTTGCTTGACCTGAATCCAAGAAAATCATAACAAAACTCCACAGGGTCCTCGTGGGGGTCTTACCAGGAAGGAAGAGTGAGAAACACAACACATTCAACTG